CCAGTGCCCCCCAGTTTGCAGGGACCAGTCCTGGGGAAGCCTGGAGCAAGGCTCTGCCAGGGCACTGCATCAGTCTCCTGCCCTGAATGGCCCTGCCTACGGGAACGGGGAAATACCCCCCCTCAAAATGGCTTTTGTCCCCTTCTTTCCAGCTCACGAGCAAGAGGAGACGGAGAAATGGGAGTGCCGGAGATGCAGGGAGACCCAGCACTGATGGGAAGGGCTGGCAGACCCTCGCCGTGTGAGCCCTGCGGTGGGAGAGGGGCCCTGGAACCCCCCCGGGGCTGGCAGGTAACGGGGGATGCGGGTTTCCATATCCCGTGTCCCCGCTCTGGGCAGAGCCCCGAAGCAGCGCTGCTCCTCCCTGCTGAAACTGCCCGGCTCCCAGCCCGGAGCCGTCGGCCCTGCTTCCCCCCAGCCCAGGCACCGGGCTGGTGCTGGTCCCACTCCCGTTGCTTACTGGTGAGGATGCGCCATGCGCTTGCCTGGGGTTCTGCACTCCCAAATGACCAAGCCCCGGTGACATCCCCGGGGCACCGAGCGCAGGGTGGGGGTGAGGAGAAGTGGCAGCGGCGGTGGGGGAACCGGGCCTGTTGGCTCTGCCCTTCTCAGGACTCGTCTGTGCAAGAAGCTCCCCCAGGGGTGCGCGGTGACCCCAGCCCTGTGGCACCTCCGGGCTGCCGGAGACGGGGGTGGCCGCATGGGGACCGCAGGGGACAGGGATGGAGGGAGCGAGGCGGCGGCGGCTGGCTGGTGGTCGCCACGCTTCCGTGGGCAAATAATCCCTTAAGGGAGCTTACCCAGCTGGGAAGATTACTGGCCCTAATCCCGTAAGGTCATTTGTTACTGTTAACTGGGGAGAGCTCCTCCGCCTGCGGCAGCGCGTGCTAAAATAAGGCGGCTTCCAGGGGAGCGGTGGAAGTGAGCATCCTGGCCGGGCTGGGAGTGATTCACACGCGGGTTGGATTTTTTCCTGACACCAACCAAAAGAGGCAGCGGGATTGGGGCTGGGTGCCAGCGCTGGGAAATGCTCCTTTTTTTCGTGGGGGTGGCTGGCTGGAGATCTGCAGGCTGGATCGGGGGGCAGCTGCTTCCTACCCATGGCCTCAGGGTTGGCTCCCACGGGAGCCCCCATGGGACACGGGCAGCGGGGTTGGCTGCAGAGCGGGATGCAGGATGTGGACGGGAGATGGGACGCAGGACGCGGCTCTGCTTTACCCCTGCAGCCTCGCACCGCAGCATCCACCACGGAGCGATGGCTTCCGCTTTTGGCCAGGGACGAAGGCAGTGTCTGATCCTTGTTGCTCGTGATGTGTGCTGGGACCCCAAGGAGAGCTGGAGCTACACTGACCTCCCAGGGGGACACATGCTTCAGACCGGTGGCAAAGAGTTCTGTGGGCAGTGCAAGCCCCGTCCGTCTGTCCTGCCGCACACACGCACAGACATGGCCTCTTGAGACTGGGGTTTGGCTGCGGAGCTCGGAGCTGGAGGCGGTGGGTGGGAGGCCTGGCCTGGCCGGGTGGTGACCGTCCCCTTTGGTGGGCTGGAAGCCTTCCCCCACCAGCTCCACCAGCAGCCTTCATGCTGCCCAGCGAGGTGACGGGGAGGGAGCGCTCCCAAAGCCTGTGCAGGGGTGGGGCTGGGATGGGGATGGGATGGGGATGGAATGGGATGGGGATGGGGATGGGATGGGG